ATCGCATTTTCGGTTAAGCAAGCCACCGCTACCACATTTATTTTTGGCTTATTTTGAGCCAAAGCCAGAAAAGAAGCACAAACTACCGCTGCCCCAGACATGTCAAATTTCATAGTGGACAGTGCCGAAGAAGATTTTAAATTATAACCACCGCTATCAAACGTTATTCCCTTTCCGATTAATCCCAGAATATTTTTGTTTTTTTTATCGCCAAAATAGCGTAAAATTACCACTCGTGGCTCGTGATGACTGCCAGCATTAACGGCTAACAACAACCCCATTTTATTTTTGATAATTTGTTTTTTGTCTAAAATTTCTACTTCAATATTTTTAAGTTTACTGAATTTTTCTTTTACTTGGTCGGCAAACTCTTTGGCGTGTAATTTATTTGGTGGAGCATCTTGCAAATCGCGGGCAAAATTGACAGCGGCTAATTTTATTTGTGATTTAGTTAATATTTCAACGGCTTTTTTGTTTTTCGTTATTAGACAATATTCTTTGTTCGGCATTACTTATATTTATTTTTTAACATTTTTTGTGGATTCTGCTAAATTAGCGTCTTTTTTTATGCTCGGCGATAGAGAAATAAGAACTTCTGGTCGGAAAGCTCTTATTTGCCTAAAATATAACATATACATCTCTAAATTGTATATATTAAAACTCGCAACCAGTGAGCAGATCTGGGCCAGGATAAATGATTAGTCAAGACCAAACAAGGCTACACCTTAATTATCATTATGGAATTAAGAAGATTGATTGGTTCATCCCGCCCAGAGTCTCCCCAAGGTTATCAATTTAAAGTTCATGCCTATAATTTAATGAATCCCAGTAATGAGTTTGTGAAGATTGATAATCATAATAACAAATCGCCCCATTATTATGTTGATAACCAAGAAAAATCCTTTACTTGAATTTTCTGAGAAGACAGTAAAAAATTATTTTATCAATTAGCCTGTCAGCGATTTGGCTATTTTATTTGAAAGCACTAGTATGAAAAAAAACAATTTATTATCCAATATGACCCTAGTTATTCCTTGGACAAAATGTTTGACCATTTTGAGCAAGCAGCAGCCGGTAAAAAACACTTACAACCCCAAAATATAATAGTGTGTCACGATTTAGTTACTATTTATTCTGCTATTACTAAAAATCGCTTGGATTTATTAACTTTTTTAATGGCCAAACAGCCAAAAAATATTTATCAGTTAGCCCAGTTACTAAAAAGACCTTATTCACATGTTTGAATTGATTGTCAAGTTTTGAGTGGGTTGGGGGTTATTAGATTGGACAAGGAGGAAATTAATGAGAAAGTTGCTGACAATGGCTCGTGCGTTGGAAAAAAAGCGAAAGTGCGACCAGTCGCTCTTTACGAAGAGATAGTGTTTAATTTTCCGGTTAAGGAGATAGTTGATTTAACTAATAAACGAGTGGTTGGACCTGTTGCTTTAACTCCATAAATAAATAGATGATGGAGTGCGTTGACAAAGTGGTTTTTAATAATTTTTAACCTAACCTAGCAAGAAGTCCCCTTGTTCTATAACTGGGGGATGAATTGCTAATAACTAATTTTGCTAATCAGTCGTAAAATATATTATATATGGTTAGCATGCTAGAATTAGATACTAATAACCACTCGGTCTTTTTATTGTGGTTCCATATGGTATTAGTTATCAAGTATCGGAGAAAGGTAATTGATAATCTTATCTCCAACCGATTAAAGGAAATATTCGAATACATTGCCAAAGATTATAACATCTACTTACACGAATGAAATCACGACGGAGACCATATTCACTGCTTATTCAAAGCCCACCCTAATAGTGAATTAAGCAAATTCATCAATGCTTATAAATCTGCCTCCTCTCGTTTGATTAAGAAAGAACAACCTCAAATCAAAACTAAACTTTGAAAAGAGTTCTTTTGAAGTCGAAGTTTTTGCTTGCTAACCACCGGAGGAGCACCAGTGGAAATAGTTAAACAGTATATTCAATCCCAAGGAGAAAATCATGTGAAAGAAAAATAAAAGTAAAGGGAAAATAGAAAAGTCTTTCAAATATCGACTTTATCTCTCTGAAATAATAAAAGTCATTATTGACAAAGATTTAGAGATTTGTCGTTGACTTTACAACAATTTACGAGAATTAAGGATAATTGAATGAGAAAAAGATAAAGCAATAATCACTTATACTCAACAACAAAACTCTTTACCTGACTTGAAAAAACTTCATCCTTTCTTAAAAGAAGTTCAAAGTCAAGTATTACAAGATGTCGTTCGGAGGCTAGATGATGCCTGAAAAAAGTTTTATCAAAGAATTAAGAAAAAAGAAAGATTAGAGAAACTAGGCAAAAAGTCAAAAGAAGTTCATTACCCTCGTTATAAGCAATTTGGTCG